TGCATTCTGGACGAGTTGAAGTCTCCGAATGCTCTTCAAGGGCTGCCACTAAGACATTTAGTGGTGGCCTCCATCCTATAACCTGTATTTTACAGCTCCCCACGAACACTCATGTTGTGGCATTTTCCAAAATTCAAATCCATCCACAATCCCCAAAAACTTGGAAAGGGCTGAGAGACAGAAAACCATACTGGAAGAACTGATGCCAAGTCACTGATTTTCTTTGAATTAAGTCACTCGCTCTCACATCTTATCTCACAGGGTAGTTGTGAGGATAAAAATGAAAGGGAGAAAACCTGTTCGGCATGCGTTGTTCCGACCACAACCATGGATGAATAAGATAAAAGGGAAAAATTAGAAAGCAGCTCACTCTTTTGTCTTTTCATTGATGTTGGCTCCTCTTCTTAGAAGTAACTCGCAGACTTGTTTCCGCTTAGGATACGGAGATGCAGCAGCACAGTGCTATTAAAAGGATGAGATTATGTTATTTGCTAGCTAATATTAACAACCAGTGAAACGAGGGCCGAGCATATTTTTAACATTATTCAGAAGTGGGGTGAGCACAGGACCTCTTTCCTAATCAAAGGTTGACCCTCTTTTTCAGCATTCAAGTGAACCTGAAAAAGAAAAGCTGCAGCTGCTTCAAAACATACAACTTTACTGAATCAACTCATTTAGGAAGCTGTATCTTTAAAAAAAAAATGGTGTGAAAGCTTGAAAAACTACAAGCTCCTTTTAAGGAAGAGCACTACGCTCCAAAGCCTTACTTCCAAATCATTTTAAAATGGTAATTACTCTACATAGTTGCATTGCTGAAAACTGGTGACTACAATAAAAGGTACATGAAAATAATCTATATAAAGCAGAAATGATAAAAAAATGTCTAATAAAAGTATGTACAACCAATGCCCTATGCCGAGATTGTAAAACTAAATTATCTTAATTCTTTCCAGTAGAGAAAAAAATCATGTTTTGATTCATCATCTGCTCGATTTGGCCAGAAAGGTAGTCCTCGACTTATGACCACAACTGGGACCTAAGAGATGCAGTCATTAAATGAATTATCACATGACCAGATCTGATATTATGACCATTTTTGCTAGTGTAATTAAACAAATCACCATGACATTATTAAGCAAATCATGTGGTTATTAAGCGATTCTGGCTTCCCCTGTTGGCTTTGCGGGCTGCAAAGGTCACAAATCATGATTATGTGATCACAACAGACTGCAACTAGTTGTAAATGTGAGTCAAGTGCAAAGCACTCAAGCTGAAATCACATGACATTAGGGAGTGGTGTAAAGCTGTAACCTTTGAAGGCAAGTCGTAAGTCTTTCAGTGCCATCATAACTTTGAACAATTGCTAAATGAATGATCGTAAATCAAGGACTACCGGTAACAGACAACTTTCATCGAAAAAGTATGATTAATGAATTACCAAAGGAGTTTCGTGAGTCTGAGGATGCCTGAAATTAACAATTTCAAGAGAGAGATGCTTTTTTACACGATTCACATCCGATTCCCTTGCCGCCTGTAGTAACGAATGGCCTTTGAATTCATCTACGGAGAAAAGAAAGGTTTATGGCATTTAAGCCTCAAATATCACGCATGTTCAGAATGATAGAAATAGCAATCAATTACAAGCAGTGGATGATCATCAAGATCAGCCGTTGAATGGATCCATATAGGAAGCTGAAAAAAAGGTAATAATCTCCATTCAGTTTATTTTCTCTGTACTCACATGCCAACCGCTCTTTCAACTGAGGTGTAGGGGCCAAATCAATTGTACTTTTATTATGGCAGTTTAACAGTGTAGGGTCAGCACCGTAGCTCAGCAAGAGGGAGCATACTTCCACTCTGTTCTTAGAAGCTGCTTCGTGAAGAGGGGTGAACTGCCATAAATCCATTGCATTCACACAGGCTCCGTGCTAGGAGAGGAAAGAGAATCAGGTATAATTTTCTCCTGGAAAAAAAACAATCCCATTGGAAAGCTAGTAAGTGAAAAAACAGAGTTTCCTAGCTATCACGGTGGATGTTTCTTCTATGAAGTCTATGATAAGACACTGCATGACACCAGCATGTCTAGTCTGACACATGGAAGTTTACAGGTCATGGATCAACCAATCTCAAAACAAACTACCTAAAGGTTATTATTGTGGGACTAATGGGTGGATATAAGGCTAGTTATGTTGGTTTGACCTCTTGAACAAAAGACAGGATATCAATCTAATGAATAGCAATAGCAGTTAAGACTTATATACCGCTTCATAGGGCTTTCAGCCCTCTCTAAGCGGTTTACAGAGNTTTGTTGTAGTTCTTGTATCCCCCACCCCCTGACTTGGATTGTGAGCCGCCCTGAGTCCCCTTGGGGAAAAGGGCGGCATAGAAATATAATAAATTCAAATTCAAATTCAAAGCACGGGGTGAAATTTCAAGAGGTTGCATGGAAAACACAACATAAATTCCAGCTTGGCGATGATGCTTAGGGAAAGGAGAGTCTGCAGGTGGCGGAGAGCAGCATTTCCTGCTCCATCTGGTGCTTAGCTGAAGGTGCCGACACAAAGACACCTACCTAGGAAAGCAATCCCGTGTTTCTGCAGCAGCTCCGGAAGTTTGGGGTTTTCGGAGGCATGACCCCAACCAGCCCAGACAGCCTGGAAGGAGAATTAAGTTGAAGGGATCCTTTGCACCGGTTCCCAAAAGGATCCCTTTGGCCGTTCTATATTTTCACAAATTCCATTCTACTCATTATATTTACTGCTTTTTCTGCCTTGCTACGGAATTCTCGGCAGCCCAAGACGGACAGAAAACTTTGGCTGTTACCTGCACAGGAATTCTTTTCGAGATGTCCACGATCAGTTCTACATTGGCGTAGTTGTTGTTATTGGTTCCTCCGGAGACGGGCACGTACTGGTCCGCCATTTTGATGTATTCTGGAAGAGGAAAGGTTTTTGAGCCAAAGGGTGAGAAGAGAGCCCCCTGGAGCCTCGGGGGAATCGAGAAGGCTGCCTTCGGCTGCCTACCTGCGTTGGCTTTCAGATCCTCGGGCGTCACCATCACCACAAACCGGATGGCCCGCTCATTCCGGAACATCTCGTAGGCCCACCTGCGGATGGAGCGCATGCACTTCACGGCCGCAATGCCATTGTTGGCGATCAGGACCTGAGGTTGGGAAGAAGGCACGCACGGGGGGGCGGTCATCCCTCCGGGAAGCGCAACGGACGAGAGGACGTTGAAAAGGAGCTTCCCAAAAAGAGGACCAGAGTTCGGTGGCAGAAGAGAAATTCAGTCCCTGGACTGGACAATCCAGCTCGTTTTCGGCCAGGAGGTCTCTGGGGCTCTCTCCCAACCTTCAGCATTTCTGCTGAACTTCTGGAATACCTGCCTGGCTTTATATACGTTTTTTAAAAAAATATGTGCTGGGCTTTATATATATTAAAGAAATGTATTTAATAGGTAGCCATTCCATCTGCATCAAGGTTCAAGGTTCATTTTATTTATATGCCGCCCTATTCCCGGTGGGACTCAGGGCAGCGCACAGACCCAAAGGAGGGGAAGGGAAACACAAGAACTACAACAAAAAAGTACAGGGCATTTAAAACAACCAACAGCCACACAATTCGAGAGGGGAAAGGAACTCTAATAGTTAATTACGTACCTTTGTATCAATATATATGTCTGTCTGTCTGTCTGTCTGTCTGTCTGTCTGCCAGCATAACTCTGGAACACCTCACGCAATTTCAACCAAACTTGGTACACAGATGACTTGGAAATAAATAATGTGGGCGTAAGATACCCCTAACACCACTTGGGGTATCTGTTCTGTTAAGATACAGTCTGTTGTACCTTAAAATGGCTTCTGCTGTACTGCCTTAAAAATGGCTTCTCCTGTACAGCACATTGGAGTTGCCATGGTAACGGCTTCACAGTACTCCACAAGGGAGCTCCCTCTGGTAAGGGGGAAT